AAAAGAGAAGAAAGAGACGAGGGGGGAGGCGAGGTGTGCACAGCACACCGATCCTCAGCCCTGTCGACGCAGAACCAGCCTGACGTGGCGCAGTCTGCGCTGGCGCGGTGACGCGCACAGCATCGGCACGGCCGGGGCGTTATCTCCCCGGGCGTGAGAGGACAAGACAATATGCCGGGCAGTGATGTCCGGGCTGTTGTAGTATGTGCGGTAGCCAGGTCATGCGCATACAGTGACAAACATGCGCATGCGGGCCGCACGGAAAGATCCGCAGAACCAGCGGAGGAACAGTTAGACAGAGGACAGAGGGCCTCAAGTGGAACCTATATGGCAGACAGACCAGTGACTCACAACAGCAAGGAAAGAGAAAATGAAATAAAAAGAGCGAGGACAAAAAGGGACCAGGCCGAAAATAACAAGAGACAAGAGACAGAAAAAGGCACACGGTGGAGAGACCACTAACGACAAGCAAACAAACACGCAAACATGGCCACATACATTTTTTTTTTGTTTCTCCCATCATTGGACTCTCTCTGTCGTCTGCCCCTCTGGCCCCTATCCTCCACTTCTACTAGCTAGACGACCCAACCGGGGTCACATAGGAGGGGGGGGCTGGACCCCTCCCTTCCTGCGGTTCCTGCCTGAGGTATTTTTGTCGCGAGAAGGGTACAGCAATCCCTTCCCTCGCGACTTACGAAGTCGATTATGGTTGACCAAATACCAACGTATTTTCAGTTTGGTATGCGTATGTGCGTAGAATGTGCGGCTGATGTGCGGGCACACCGGCGTAGTCTCACCGTCCGTATACTAGACCCCGAGTGGGGGGAGTTTTTTCCACGCGCACCATCACAACAGCATAACCCGTGCTGCGGAAAGTACCTGCAGTAGGCTGGGTCGTGCGCCCCCCGTGAATATGTGTTGCTTTTGTTTTGGTACACACACCCGAAATGTTGTTGATGCGATGTTTTTGATGCGAATCGTTGTTGTCAGCACTCCGTATGCGTTAGTAAATGAAGAAGTAGAAAAAAATGCCCCACCACTCAGAACACAGCAGCAGCAGCAGAATATTTGAACTATGCATAGCACGCGAGTTGTCGCCGATCGCGAGCCCCTCCTCACTACGCCCTGTCGTGGTCTGCAAACCACACGCGAACACCCTCTGTGATAGAGCTGCTGTGATATGCAGATAGTGAACGTTGTGTGTCGGTTTGGTTCTGCTGCTACGTGTGTGTCGGTCGCGGTTTGGTTCTACTGCTGCTGTGTTCTTTTTTTGACCTCGTCCACACCGAGTGGCCAACTTTGGCACGTGTTCAGACCAGCTACCACGCATCTCCTCCTCCACAGCTCGCGGCTTTCACTATCTGGATATCACAGAGGGTGTTCGCGTGTGGTTTGCAGACCACGACAGGGCGTAGTGAGGAGGGGCTCGCGATCGGCGACAACTCGCGTGCTATGCATAGTTCAAATATTCTGCTGCTGCTGCTGTGTTCTGAGTGGTGGGGCATTTTTTTCTACTTCTTCATTTACTAACGCATACGGAGTGCTGACAACAACGATTCGCATCAACAACATCGCATCAACAACATTTCGGGTGTGTGTACCAAAACAAAAGCAACACATATTCACGGGGGGCGCACGACCCAGCCTACTGCAGGTACTTTCCGCAGCACGGGTTGTGCTGTTGTGATGGTGCGCGCGGAAAAAACTCCCCCCACTCGGGGCTAGTATTTTCGCACGCGCGCTTCGCGCGCGGAAAAAACTCCTACAAAAAAAAATGACTGTAGTGAGCCCATCTCTATCATAGAAAAGAGTCAGAGACAGATTAATAATGGAATCATAGCGTCAGAGAAAACTACCTGTCTGTATGTCTAAGATTTCTTAGACAGCATAAAGGGCAACTCCCCTTGCGGGTTACAGGCTCAACAAATCAGTTTGGTAGCTGTCTTGTGTGTCTCATATATGTTATATGTAATTTCATGTCGTTAAATGTGCGAAGGGCACGGGAGAACATTTTCTCATCATTACCTCCTGATGACGTGGTCGCCGATAGAGGCTTGTGGTAGATGAGGTTTCGTCACCGACATGTGGGTGTGTGTTAGATGCAGTGGATATGTTCACCTCTCTCGTCCGTGTGTAGGCAGGAGGTATGGCTACCTCCCCCATTTGTGGGCAGCGCGGACCATAAGTAGACAGAGTTTATCATTTCATGCATGCTACATCATCAAGGTTTGACAAGGGGGGAATGAGAGGTTGTGCGTATGGGTTCGGGGATACTCCCTGTGTCCGTGTTGTTCCCAGAGGTTGTCGCATCAAGTGGCAGCATGTGTCATGGACAGGTAGACGTGGAAGGACGGCGACAGGTGAACGGTAGCAGTAGTATGTTGTGCATGGTGGCATGTTGGTTTATTTGCATTTTCACACATATCGGGGTCGGCACATTCGTATTTTTCAAAACCCGTGTATTTTTTTTTTCTAACCGTGGGAGCCAACGGAAGATAGGGAGAGCGAAGTACCGCTGTTGGTGCTCAAGAGCACGAAGTTG